TCCAACGACAACAGCCGGAAACCGTTGCGGTCAAAAAAAAAAAAAAAAAAAAAAAAAAAAAAAAAAAAAAAAAAAAAAAAAAAAAAATAAAAAAAAAAAAAAAAAAAAAAAAATGATTTTCAGGAATCTCTGAATTTTCTGCAACACAAGTGGAAAAGTAAACCATAAATTTTGAAATCTTCTCGTAAACCCACACATTTCTTCACTCCCTGATTTGGATTCAAAGGCGGAATGTATCAGAAGTGTTTTCAGTTTTATGTGAAAAGAATATTGTGCAAAATATGCTCGGCGTAAAAAATTGGGGCCAAAGTTAATTTAAGAATATGCATACGATTTGTGTGCAACAAAAAAAGAAACAAAAACAAATTAGTACATTTGAGATAATTTCAGCGAAATAGCAACAAAAACAAAATATATATATATAAACCCCGAAGATGTATTTTTAATCCATATGTTTTAAATAAAATATTTATTTATATAAATATTTATATAAAAAATTAAAAGGTGTTTACAAAAAATAAGCATTCGGCAGAAAACGGATGACTGTTAAATAAAAAAAAATTGTATAAATTATTCCAATCGCATAACCAAATTTATAAGCCTTACAATTTTATTGCTTCTGGCACTTTTTTATTTCACTTAGATCAAGCTGTATCAAGTGTTTTATTTGTGAAATAGTATTTGACGAACGAACGAAATGTTCTGAATAAGGATCACCTGCCTTAGGCTGGATCCAATAAGGAAATTTAAATGATTAAAGACTTTAAAATCCCATATCAATACCTATAGTAAAGTTCGTTAAAGGGTATAATCAGATTTTTCTTTGATGAATCAGTTCGTATGTCAACCATACGCTATAATTGTCATGTCATGGAGAGAGGACGTAGGCAAAATCTGAAATCGATATCTGAGAACGTGAGGGATCAGTACGCTTATATACAAACTATGTGTGCATGGCTAAATGGAATCAGTCAATTCGATATACTATATAATCATTTGTATACATATACACCCTAAAGGGTCTCCGACGATTCTTTCTCACTGTTAAAAACTTTGTGACAAAGTAAATATACCCCCATTCAGGATATAACAAATAATAAATTAAATAATTATTAATTAAGTTTCCTTAAATCCTTCTAAAACACGCATGTTTCTGTCTTCATTTTTAACTTGATATAAATATATATCCTGCTTAAAGAGACGTGGATTTTACTTTATTTAACCATGGGTGTTGTATGGTAATCACATTCTTCCCGCTTCATACAATATACACGATAAACGTAAGTATTTCGAATTGAGTGACCCCCGAAATAGTGCCTTAACCGAAAAGTTACTTAAGCTTCAAAAATATTTTCAGTTTGCTTTTTCTTAGGTTTTTTAATAACAGTACGTGTGTTCTGACAAGAAAAAGCTTTCCATTAAAGTTTTCAACCATTCGGACGGTTTTTAATCGATTGCGTCCTTCCATGCCGCGTATGACGTAAAACCGTGTGGGCAATATAGCGTTGATGTTCGACCATAAATCTAAAATAGACATAAACACCAACTATAAAGCAAAATAAATTATAACTGAAACAAGCTGTGCTAAAACAGCGTAACAAATTTGAAAATAAAATACAAATAATAACGCATTCCTTTGACCTGAGTGACTCCGAAAACTGTGGAAAGTACAATTCTGAATTTAAAATATGAAAAAATATTAAGATACAGTTATAAAGTATGTAAATCAGCTATTCGTTTCACAAACTTCCTGTTCAATAAATTATTGCACTGAAATTTCCGACGTAGATACTCCATTATAAGGATCAAAAAAATAATACCAACAAAAATTATATGTTTATGGTCCTAATACCATAACGGTGAATAATCGAGTTTTTTAGTTAACCTAAATTGTAGATCATATTTGGTTGTTACCCATTATAATTTTGGAAGTAGCTACAAAATTTTGCAGTTGAAAATCCATATAATATAGTATTTTGTATCTTTTGAAAGTGGTATTACCGTATAATATTCGACCTCAATTAATAATGGATTATATCAATTGTTCGATTTGAAGTTCTCTACTTCCCTTCGGTGATCCTAATACAGTGATCCTAATCAAGTGATGTGCCTACTTGTTTAAATGCTTTTACGGGTAATTGGCGGCATGTCTGCTCCCAACAAAAATGCATTAAGAACCAACGAACCTACGGGTGAAAATCACGCACTTAGCTCACTTGGCTATTTGACTGCAAGGAATAGCGAAAAATCGAATGAAATATAAAATTATAGCATAAAAAAGAAATATCTAAATTAAACAAGCAACGACACCTACACCAAGAAAATCCAAGTGACCTCATAGTGAAACAGTCAAGTTGGCAGAAACAACAAAAGCAAGCGGAAAAGTGCACGCCAATCGAAAATGAAAAGCGACGACGAAAATATTTTTGCTAAATATAAAATATTTTGTATAACGCGAACAACTTTGCGTATTTTGATTACTTAATTTCTATATTTTAATTTTACGCTGAGCGGCTGTGAAATATACAGAGGACATATGTATATTTCCTTTGGCTGTCGAGTTTTATTTTCAAAAGTATGTCATGCCTACACTCTTATTACTCATGCCTCCGTTATCTACTTTTAGTAGGCGGCAATGAATATGTAATACTACATGTTGCCATTTGAGTTAATGTAGAAGTTGGAATTTTGACTTCGAAATTGTTGGCGATATTTTCTGTTATAACTGAAAATGTTAGATTTGAACTAAACATTTAAACATGCAAATTAAATAAATTTTCTTTAACATATTACCCTTCGCATTGTTTATAAAGGGTGCTTCAAAATTAACGCAAAATTGGAATTAAATAGAAGTCACGGTCTCTAGTGTTTCGTTGGTAATTCTTAATTGAATCTTAAAGTAGGTCTTATCTTTATTGGCGTATACACCGTTTTCGCGGTTATAGCGGAAAAAGGCCCAACGGCTTAAAGTATATACAATTTTATGGAATAATCGGACTAATGGTAATCATTGCTTTCCATATATATACGAAATCGTTTTATACATAAATTTGGCTGAATTTCATTGATGCAACGTTGAACCTTGCCATAATAGACTTGTGATTTGAAACAACAAGAAAACTAATGATCACCAAAAAGAGAGTACACGATTGTCTCATGCAGAAATTGTGGAGTTTCACGGCCTTTTTGTTAAAATGACATTTATTTATGCCACATCAATACCATCCAATTTCGGCAAAAATAACTGGATTATCATGACGCTATATCGAACACCAATAACAGCCACTGAGACTGGTCAAGCTCATTTTCAAAACGGTCCAATTTTGACCCAGCCAAAATCCGCACCAAACAGTGACACATTTTCGACAATCTTGAGGATGTAAAAACCTATCAATTTGAAAATTTGCTTCATCCCTAGGATGAATTTTCTCATTTCCTTATTTTTGAAATATTGTTCAATAACGAAGACACTTTGCTTTATCGTGAATGAGCTTAAACTCTCAGCTGTCGCTATTTTTACGGTTGTCAACACTTTACCACACTCAATGTCCGCAAATTTAAATTTAGCGTCAATTATGGATATTTATTTAACGTTCATGCCTATTGTACGATATTGTTATTCGAACTTTCTCTTTTTATCTCTTCCATACACTCCATAGTGATTTATGACTTTGGATGAATTGCAGAGATTTAGAAAACTCTTTTCGTTATAGATTTTCGTCCTCTAACTAAATATAGTATATGGCATTTATGAGTCAAGATACAAAGACAGACCAATAACATATAAGCATTCAAAAGACAACACTTTTTGATACTTCTCCAGCTCGAAGTAAAAAGACATAAGTATGTTTGGCTGTGAACTGATAGTAGAAATTTCGATATTTTCCTTTCCATCAATATATTAACTGCGATATACCCCCGGATCATGATAAAAAAAAGAGAACAGCTGTGAGCATTTGAGAAACAGTTACAAATTGAAGCGTATGTCAGCCTTGTCGGCTCAAAATGATCGACTTCACTTATGAATTATCAAGGCTTTGGTTTTATCCACTTTGAAGACCAAGGCTATTTTCAAAAAAGTGTATCTTGGCCGAGACGAATTGTGGCTATATGGTTGGATATGGAACGCAACAAAAAATATTTTTAAAATTGGGGAAAATTAGCCTCTCTAGATAACCAGTTGTTAGGAAACATCCCGAATTCAGTCTAATATGCATCGAGAGGTTATTTTTCGACAAGAAAAGCTAAGAATCAGAATCAGTTTTAGAAAATTTAAATTTAAATTTAAATTTAAATTTAAATTTCTTTTAGAACTCCACGCTCTGTAAACACATCCGTTTTTGGTTGAAATTTCTTATCCGTTAGATCCACGATAGAAGAACAATTTTGCCTAAGTTGTTTAGATAATAAAATATTATCCCATAATTTATAGGGATACTTAAAGTATTTTAGGTCGTTGTGTCACTGATGCAACTGTACTCAAGTTACTTGAGATTCCGCTAATATGGGAAATATATGCAAAGCCTCTAAACTTTTATCTTATACTTTATATTTTTTAAGTTCATTAAGTCACTAAGTTTTCCCTTCGTGCTAATACTAAAGGATCAACGTGCATAAATTTCTTTTAAACGCAACAAAGCTACAGAAGTTCAGAGTTTCTAATAACAATACACATATACCTACATACATGTATGCGTGAGTTTTATTTTAAATCGCCATTAATGCCAGAACTTGCAACTGTCGAGTCTGTCTTACCTAGCGAGCAATAAAAATTTAAG